TAGTTTCTATTATCTCCTTTTCTCTCCCTCTCTTCTTCTCTCCTTTTCTTTCAATTAGCTGATTGTCTCTCCTTTTCTTCCCTTTCTTCATCTTTCTGTCTCTCTTCTCCTCCCCCTTTCACTCTCTTTCTTTCTTTCTCTCTTCTTTCCCCTCCCCCTCTCTTTATATCTGTCCCCTACTTTTTTTTTTTTTGCTTTTCTTCTCTTCCTTTTATCTGGCTCTCATCTTCTTACTCATCCATATCTCATGAAGTTATTCCTTATCTCTCCTTCCTTCCCTTTCTTTATTCGTCTCTCCTTCCCTTTCTTTAAGTTATCGAATTATCACCCCTTCCCTTTCCTCAAATTATCGAGAGCTTTCTCCTTCCCTTTCTTTAAGTTATCGAATTATCACCCCTTCCTTTTCTTCAAATTATCGAGTCCTCTCTCCTTCCCTTTCTTTAAGTTATCGAATTATCACCCATTCCTTTTCTTCAAATTATCGAGTCCTCTCTCCTTCCCTTTCTTTAAGTTATCGAATTATCACCCCTTCCCTTTCCTCAAATTATCGAGTCCTCTCTCCTTCCCTTCCTTTAAGTTATCGAATTATCACCCCTTCCCTTTCCTCAAATTATCGAGAGCTTTCTCCTTCCCTTTCTTTAAGTTATCGAATTATCACCCATTCCTTTTCTTCAAATTATTGAGTCCTCTCTCCTTCCCTTTCTTTAAGTTATCGAATTATCACCCCTTCCCTTTCCTCAAATTATCGAGTCCTCTCTCCTTCCCTTTCTTTAAGTTATCGAATTATCACCCCTTCCCTTTCCTCAAATTATCGAGTCCTCTCTCCTTCCCTTCCTTTAAGTTATCGAATTATCACCCATTCCTTTTCCTCAAATTATTGAGTCCTCTCTCCTTCCCTTCCTTTAAGTTATCGAATTATCACCCCTTCCCTTTCCTCAAATTATCGAGTCCTCTCTCCTTCCCTTTCTTTAAGTTATCGAATTATCACCCCTTCCCTTTCCTCAAATTATCGAGTCTCTCCTTCCCTTATTATTGTATTATCTCCTTTATCTTAATTTTGATTTTCTAATTTTCTATTTTTTTCCTATATCCCATTTTCTTATCTATCATTTATTTCTACTTCCCACTTTCTTTTCAGTGATAATCAAATAAAGTTATAAAAGGAGAATAAAAGAGAAAAAAAAAAGGAAATGATGATGAAAATATGAATAAGAAATAATGATGACGGAATAACGAGGCTTATGTTGTGTAAAACTCTACGGTTTTTATCTCCAGTTTTGACTTTGGAAAAATGTAAATATGAAAAAAGTATCACACATATTACCATGAGTTACATTGGTGAGAAAGAGAGAGAGAGAGAGAGAGAGAGAGAGAGAGAGAGAGAGAGAGAGAGAGAGAGAGAGAGAGAGAGAGAGAGAGAGAGAGAGAGAGAGAGAGAGAGAGAGAGAGAAGGGGGGGTAGACGCAGAGGGAGACAGACAGAGAGAGAGAGCGAGATACAAAGAGAGAGAGGGAGAGAAGGAGAGAGAGGGAGACAGACAGAGAGAGAGAGCGAGATACAAAGAGAGAGAGAAAGAGAGAGAGAGAGAGAGAGAGAGAGAGAGAGAGAGAGAGAGAGCCAGAGCGAGCGAGAGAGCAAGAGAAAGAAAGAATAAGGAGTAAGAGGGAGAGAGAAAGAGAGAGAAAGAACGAACTCTTGGATACTTACAAGTTTCGGTAAAAAGATGGGATGAAAAAAAAAAAATAATAATAATAATCTATATATACCTATTTGTGACAATTATCTTAACTGTTATAGAGATGATAAAAAAAAGAGAATGATATTATTTTTAAATGATAATAATAGGAAATTGATAATCAAGATCACAACAACAATGGAAATAAAAACAACAGTAACAAGTGATGATAATAAAGATTAAAATACCAATAAGAATAGTGATAGTGATAAAGGAAATAACAATCATAATGACAATAATAATAACAATAATAATAATAATAATAATAACAATAATAACAACAACAAAACAACAGTAACATTAACAATAATAATAGTAATAGTAATAATGATAATAATGATTATATAATAATAGCAAAACAATAACAGTAACATTAACGACAGTGATAATAACAATGGTAATAGTAATAATAATATAATTATTATTATTGTTATAAACAATATTGATAATAATAATAATAATAATAACAGAAACAAAAATAATAATGACGATAACAACACTACTACTAATACCACTACTACTACTATTACTACTATTACTACTACTGACACCACTCCTACTACTAACAATTATACAAAGCAACAGCAACACCAAGAAAAAAAAAAAAAAAAAAAAAAAAAAAAAAAAAAAAAAAAAAAAACAACAACACTAACAAAAACACCAACAGAAGCAACAACACCAACAAAAAAACACAAGCAACAAAAGCAACAACACCAACAAAAAACAATACCAACGCTAACAAAAACACAATAACAACAGCAACAACACTAACAAAAAACAATAACAGCATCAACACCAAAAAAAACAATAACAACACTAACAAAAAAACACCATCAACAAAAGCAACACTTACAAAAACACAAAAACAACAGCAACAACACCAACAAAAAAACACCAACAACAAAAGCAACAACACCAACAAAAAACACCACCAACAAAAACACCAACACCAACCAAAAAAAAAAACGCCAACAACAAAAGCAACAACACCAACAAAAAAAAAACACCAACACCAACCAAAAAAAAAACACCAACCAAAAACAACAACACCAACAAAAAAACACCACCAACAAAAGCAACAACATCAACAAAAAAACGCCAACAACAAAAGCAACAACACCAACAAATACACCACCAACAAAAGCAACATCAACAAAAACACCACCAACAAAAACGCAAACACCAACCCCCCCCCCCCCCAAAAAAAAAAAAAAAAAAAAAAACGCCAACACCAACCAAAAAAAAAAACACCAACCAAAAAAAAAAACACCAAAAAAAAAAACACCAACCAAAAAAAAAAACACCAACACCAACAAAAAAAAAAAAAAAAAAAAAAAAAAACAAAAAAAAAAACACCAACCAAAAACAACCACCACCAAAAACCAAAACCACACGCACACGCACAAGCGCCACCAACCACCCCCTCACCGAGCGCGAAGCCGTCCTTGGTCCACTGCACGCGCCCCTGCTGGTTCGCCACCACGCAGCGCAGGGTCACGGAGCCGCCCTCGCGCACCGACACGCTCTCAGGCCGCACCACGAACCTTTGCAACGCTGCTTCGCTGGCTGGGGAGGGTAGGGAGAGGGTGGGTGGGTAGGGGGAAGGGGTGGGTGGGTAGGGGGGATGGGTTTGAAGAGGGGGGGGGTTGGGGAAGGGAAGGGGGTAAGGGAGGGGAGGGGGGAGGGGTGGATAGGGGTGGATGGGTAGGGGGATAGGTAGGGGGGAGGGTGGTGGGTTGGGGGGTGGGGGTGGTAAGTGAGGGGAGGAAGAAGGGAAGGGGAGTGGGGTTATGTGAGGGTTGGGGTAGGGAAGGGGGTAAGGAAGGGGAGGGGGTTGTGGGAGGGTTGGGGAAGGGTGGGTAAGTGAGGGGAGGGTGAAGGGAAGGGGAAGGGGTAAGTGAGGGAGGGAGAAGGGAAGGGAAGGGGAAGGAGGGAAGGAAGAAGAGGAAGGGGTGTCACGGGATAAAGGAAAGGAAAGGAGAGGAAAGGAAAGGAAAGGAGGGAGGGAAAAGGGAGGGGGGAAGGTGAGGGTAAGAGAAGGGAGGGAGTGGTGGAGGGGTAGCGTAAAGGGAGGGAGAGGGATGACATTAAAAAAAAGGAAGAAAAAAAGAGAGAGAAAAAATGTTTTAGAAACTGCAGTACAAAAGGTAAGATAATGTTATACTGGCACTGAATATAGAGAATTCATGTACTATGAAGATTACATTTTAACTCCAAATATATATAATAATTTCATAATAATTTATGATTTACACGAATATAAAAGTTTACCTACGAATTTATTAAAAGATTTTGATAGAATTCACGATAAATGAATTGGAAAAAACATAGGCTTTTATGCTTGTTTATTAGCTCAGGAGAAAACCAAATGCTTACTAATACATTTATTCAATACTTTGATTAAGATGATTAAGATCAATGTTTTTATATTGTTTTTTGTTACTAAAGTTAAAAAAAAAAAAAAAAAGTTACTGTTCTATTTCTATTTTTCTTTCGACGTCCCAAAAATTTCGTTCGATTCCGCGGGCCTGAAAATTCTCCTGACATTAAGAACAGGATAACTCTGATTTCATTTATTTTCTTTACGCTACGACCCTATTTTTGATGTCATAGCCGCATACAGATGTTGAAACAGATGGCCATTTTATCTAAATGCATCTAATTTATTCATTGTAGTTGATACTTAGATGATTCCTGTTTAAAAAAATCGAAAGTTTTTATTTCTTAACATTCATAATTCCTTTTTTTGTCCTGAGTGAACCATAAAAAATGGAACAGCAAATAATCATTGCCCGGGACTAACAAATACATCTTTATTTGTTTTAGTGTTTTACATCTTTCGAGAGAAAATAACCGTATTTTGGTTTACATGTTTGGAAAATATGCTGTTTCTTATTTTTCCGTGTCATTCGTGGAAAATAATGATTTGTATTTAATCATACTGATATATTTTCTTTTATGAAAATCACAAAGTATTGGTTATATTTTCTTTCCTTTTTTTACAGTTTTTTCTTTATAAATACGTTTTTTATAATCTCGCACATAATCTAAATTACACAAAACATCTCCGAATATCATTTAAAATCGCGGAAATATATATATTTTGTGAAACTATTACATTAACTAAACCTACTGTGAATAAAAATCCAAACGAAAACGAAATATCAACATCTAATTTATTCATTCATTCATCTCCTTACTTTCCCTTTACCTTTATTCTATCCAACATTTATTTTCTTTTTCTTCACGGAATCAAAAATGCATA